CGACATGAAGACAGACAGGTTTTGTCTTATCCAGCTGCATTTATTCAACTTCTAACATCCAAGTGCCAGATGTAACACCAACATGTCAGGAAAAAAAACATTTTCAAAATTCAAAAACAGAATCACTTAATTGGAAAAAAAGACACCCCCCCCCTCCCAAAAATGACTTGTAAACTCAGGTGGAGGTAATCTCTTCTCCATGGCACACAAAGCCATTTGACTTTCAACTGTGATCAGCTGTTTGATTAGCTCAGCATGAAAAGAGCTTTCCTGGAGCATTTCAGTCTCTGATAGTGCAACCGAAGCAAACAATCTACTATGGGTGGCGAGGAACTGTCAGCGGGATCTCCGGGATAAAGCTGTGGACAGGCGCAAGTCAGGAGATGGATACAAAAATATGTCAAAGACAGGGGCGGACAGACCATTTGGGAACTCGGGCACTGCCCGAGGGCCCGGGGTTAGTAGGGGGCCCCCAGAGATGTCCCTGGTACCTTTTTCATAGGCTTTTTTGGGTGTGGTTTGAGTGTGGGTGAGGACGCAGGGGCGTGCTTGGAGGTATGGGGTGGGTACACTTGGAGACACGAGTCGTGCTTGGAGGTATTGGGTGGGCACACTTGGAGACACGAGTCGAGCTTGGAGGTATGGGGTGGGCACACTTGGAAACATGAGGAGCACCAGGGTGCATTTGGTGACATGGCTGGGTGCATTTGGCGACATGAGGCGTGCTTGGAGGTATTAGGTGGGGGCACACACTTGGAGACACGAGTCGTGCTTGGAGGTATGGGGTGGGCACACTTGGAGACACGAGTCGTGCTTGGAGGTATTGGGTGGGCACACTTGGAGACACGAGTCGTGCTTGGAGGTATTGGGTGGGCACACTTGGAGACACGAGTCGAGCTTGGAGGTATGGGGTGGGCACACTTGGAAACATGAGGAGCACCAGGGTGCATTTGGTGACATGGCTGGGTGCATTTGGCGACATGAGGCGTGCTTGGAGGTATTAGGTGGGCACACTTGGAGACACGAGTCGTGCTTGGAGGTATGGGGTGGGCACACTTGGAGACACGAGTCGTGCTTGGAGGTATTGGGTGGGCACACTTGGAGACACGAGTCGTGCTTGGAGGTATGTGGTGGGCACACTTGGAGACACGAGTCGTGCTTGGAGGTATGGGGTGGGCACACTTGGAGACACGAGTCGTGCTTGGAGGTATTGGGTGGGCACACTTGGAGACACGAGTCGTGCTTGGAGGTATGGGGTGGGCACACTTGGAAACACGAGTCGTGCTTGGAGGTATGGGGTGGGCACACTTGGAGACACGAGTCGTGCTTGGAGTATGGGGTGGGGGCACACTTGGAGACACGAGTCGTGCTTGGAGGTATGGGGTGGGCACACTTGGAGACACGAGTCGAGCTTGGAGGTATGGGGTGGGCACACTTGGAGACACGAGTCGAGCTTGGAGGTATGGGGTGGGCACACTTGGAGACACGAGTCGTGCTTAGAGGTATGGGGTGGGCACACTTGGAGACACGAGTCGTGCTTGGAGGTATGTGGTGGGCACACTTGGAGACACGAGTCGTGCTTGGAGGTATGGGGTGGGCACACTTGGAGACACGAGTCGTGCTTGGAGGTATTGGGTGGGCACACTTGGAGACACGAGTCGAGCTTGGAGGTATGGGGTGGGCACACTTGGAGACACGAGTCGTGCTTGGAGGTATGCGGCGGGCACACTTAGGAGACACGAGTCGTGCTTGGAGGTATTGGGTGGGCACACTTGGAGACACGAGTCGCGCTTGGAGGTATGTGGTGGGCACACTTGGAGACACGAGTCGCGCTTGGAGGTATGGGGTGGGCACACTTGGAGACACGAGTCGAGCTTGGAGGTATTGGGTGGGCACACTTGGAGACACGAGTCGCGCTTGGAGGTATGTGGTGGGCACACTTGGAGACACGAGTCGTGCTTGGAGGTATGGGGTGGGCACACTTTGAGACGCGAGTTGTGCTTGGAGGTATTGGGTGGGCACACTTGGAGACACGAGTCGAGCTTGGAGGTATGGGGTGTGGGGGCACACTTGGAGACACGAGTCGTGCTTGGAGGTATGGGGTGGGCACACTTGGAGACACGAGTCGCGCTTGGAGGTATTGGGTGGGCACACTTTGAGACACGAGTCGCGCTTGGAGGTATTGGGTGGGCACACTTGGAGACACGAGTTGTGCTTGGAGGTATTGGGTGGGCACACTTGGAGACACGAGTCGTGCTTGGAGGTATGGGGTGGGCACACTTGGAGACACGAGTCGAGCTTGGACGTATTGGGTGGGCACACTTGGAGACACGAGTCGTGCTTGGAGGTATTGGGTGGGCACACTTGGAGACACGAGTCGCGCTTGGAGGTATGTGGTGGGCACACTTGGAGACACGAGTCGCGCTTGGAGGTATGGGGTGGGCACACTTGGAGACACGAGTCGAGCTTGGAGGTATTGGGTGGGCACACTTGGAGACACGAGTCGCGCTTGGAGGTATGTGGTGGGCACACTTGGAGACACGAGTCGTGCTTGGAGGTATGGGGTGGGCACACTTTGAGACGCGAGTTGTGCTTGGAGGTATTGGGTGGGCACACTTGGAGACACGAGTCGAGCTTGGAGGTATGGGGTGGGCACACTTGGAGACACGAGTCGTGCTTGGAGGTATGGGGTGGGCACACTTGGAGACACGAGTCGCGCTTGGAGGTATTGGGTGGGCACACTTTGAGACACGAGTCGCGCTTGGAGGTATTGGGTGGGCACACTTGGAGACACGAGTCGTGCTTGGAGGTATTGGGTGGGCACACTTGGAGACACGAGTCGTGCTTGGAGGTATGGGGTGGGCACACTTGGAGACACGAGTCGAGCTTGGACGTATTGGGTGGGGCACACTTGGAGACACGAGTCGTGCTTGGAGGTATTGGGTGGGCACACTTGGAGACACGAGTCGTGCTTGGAGGTATGGGGTGGGCACACTTGGAAACACGAGTCGTGCTTGAGGTATGGGGGGTGGGCACACTTGGAGACACGAGTCGAGCTTGGAGGTATGGGGTGGGCACACTTGGAGACACGAGTCGAGCTTGGAGGTATGGGGTGGGCACACTTGGAGACACGAGTCGTGCTTAGAGGTATGGGGTGGGCACACTTGGAGACACGAGTCGAGCTTGGAGGTATGGGGTGGGGGCACACTTGGAGACACGAGTCGAGCTTGGAGGTATGGGGTGGGCACACTTGGAGACACGAGTCGTGCTTAGAGGTATGGGGTGGGCACACTTGGAGACACGAGTCGTGCTTGGAGGTATGGGGTGGGCACACTTGGAGACACGAGTCGTGCTTGGAGGTATGGGGCGGGCACACTTGGAGACACGAGTCGTGCTTGGAGGTATGGGGCGGGCACACTTAGGAGACACGAGTCGTGCTTGGAGGTATTGGGCGGGCACACTTGGAGACACGAGTCGTGCTTGGAGGTATGGGGGGGGCACACTTGGAGACACGAGTCGTGCTTGGAGGTATGGGGTGGGCACACTTGGAGACACGAGTCGTGCTTGGAGGTATGGGGTGGGCACACTTGGAGACACGAGTCGAGCTTGGAGGTATGGGGTGGGCACACTTGGAGACACGAGTCGTGCTTGGAGGTATTGGGTGGGCACACTTGGAGACACGAGTCGTGCTTGGAGGTATGGGGTGGGCACACATGGAGACACGAGTCGAGTTTGGGGGTATGGGGTGGGCACACATGGAGACACGAGTCGAGTTTGGGGGTATGGGGTGGGCAAACTTGGAGACAAGAGTTGTGCTTGATAGTATGGGGTGGGCACACTTTGAGACACGAGTTGTGTTTGGAGGTATTGGGTGGGCACACTTGGAGACGAGTCGTGCTTGGAGGTATGGGATGGGCACACTTGGAGACATGGGGCAGGTGAACTTGCAGACACAGGGCACACAAGCATGCATTTGGAGACATGGGGAGCGTAAGAGCGCACTTGTAGCCGCAGAGAAGGTGCACTTGGAAACATAGCACAGAGACATTGAGCCATGGCAAGGTCAGAGTACTTGGCAGGGAGGATACAGGAGGCATGCTTGAACATGCTCATTGCTTGAGCGCTGAGTCTCATGGTGCCTGGCCCTTTAACTGAGCACCAGTCCGGGGAGCTGTCTCCTGATTGGCTGTGGTGCAGACATGCCATGTGACACCTGGAAGTCCTGGTGGCCACATGCTGGACAAAACAAACCCAACACTGGAACCCAATGTTACACTAATATGCATTTCAATGGCCCCCAACTTTACAAAAGTGTCCTCTAATACCCCCCCCCCCCCGGGTCACATTACTAATACTCTTATCTCTCTCTTTTTCAGCAAAAGCGAAGCAATCAGTATTTACACCTCCCCCAGGTTTGACAGACCACGGACAGTCTAATCCGGAAGACGTGGACATGTACAGCACCAGATCCTGATCCTGATCCTGATCCATGTATTGTATGGAGGAGAGTCTTTGTAGGCATCCTTCGGCCAGAACTTTATTTGTACCCGGAGTACAGAGCTCTCCAGAGACTTTACTTCTCACGTTTGCTAAATAATAAGTAAAATGTTTTCCATGGAGCCGGTGTCCTGTCCTGCTGGAGGAGTGCTGGGATTGGTGGAGGTTTACTCTGCAATTATAATCTCTGTCAATGGGAGAAGATCGGAGGAAGATTTCTGTAGTCTGATCTTCTGCTTCACATCCGCAGCTGATTTACCCATCATTGGCTGGTGGGAGGGGCTGTACGTCGCTTTCTAAAAACATCCCAGCACCCGGCCTCAAGAGCCCTCAGTCCTGATGCAAGCAGTGGGAGGAGTTATGCAAATATCAGACTACTTTGGGCTGTTGGTGTCAGTCTGGAGGAGGAGTTGGGCGTACCTAGGTGGGATGTATTTACATACAACCCATCTAAGGTGAACCCCACATGTGACGCTGAGCCTCCATGATTGAAAGAACTAAAATCCAATGAATTAAAGGGGGGAGGCCAGGAACAGTCAGGCCGAGGAGGAAAGGGCTAGATGATGCTAAACCTCCTATAGCCAGGAAAGGAGGCGGAGCTCTATCTGACTGGCTGCAGCTTCTAATGCACATTGTGAGAATCTCCCAGTGTGCAGTGACATCAGAGGAAGCCAGGACAGGAGGAGCCGGTACATCTGTGCATAACAGAAGGGGAGGAGCCGGAACATCTGTGCAAGACAGAAGGGGAGGAGCTGGAACGCCTGTGCAAGACAGAAGGGGAGGAGCCGGAACGCCTGTGCAAGACAGAAGGGGAGGAGCCGGTACGCCTGTGCAAGACTGAAGGGGAGGAGCCGGTACGCCTGTGCAAGACTGAAGGGGAGGAGCCGGTACGCCTGTGCAAGACTGAAGGGGAGGAGCTGGTACGCCTGTGCAAGACTGAAGGGGAGGAGCCGATACGCCTGTGCAAGACTGAAGGGGAGGAGCCGGTACAACTGTGCAAGACTGAAGGGGAGGGAGTCGATACACCTGTGCAAGACTGAAGGGGAGGAGCCGGTACACCTGTGCAAGACTGAAGGGGAGGAGCCGGTACGACTGTGCAAGACTGAAGCGGAGGAGTCGATACGCCTGTGCAAGACTGAAGGGGAGGAACCGGTACGCCTGTGCAAGACTGAAGGGGAGGAGCCGGTACGCCTGTGCAAGACTGAAGGGGAGGAGCCGGTACGCCTGTGCAAGACTGGAGGGGAGGAGACGGTACGCCTGTGCGGGACTGAAGGGGAGGAGCCGGTACGCCTGTGCAAGACTGAAGGGGAGGAGCCGGTACGCCTGTGCAAGACTGAAGGGGAGGAGCCGGTACGCCTGTGCAAGACTGAAGGGGAGGAGCCGGTACGCCTGTGCAAGACTGGAGGGGAGGAGCCGGTACGCCTGTGCGGGACTGAAGGGGAGGAGCCGGTACGCTTGTGCGGGACTGAAGGGGAGGAGCCGGTACGCCTGTGCAAGCCTGAAGGGGAGGAGCTGGTACGCTTGTGCGAGAGGAGGAGGCGGTACCCCTGTGCGAGACTGGAGGGGAGGAGCCGGTACATCTCTGCAAGACTGAAGGGGAGGAGCTGGTACATCTCTGCAAGACTGAAGGGAGGCCAGAGGGAGGATTTAAATATATCTAGTAATTATCTATTGTGATGAAGGTCCCGTTCAGACCTCTTGCAGTGCATCCCCCTCCCCCATCAGATGTGTCTCCAATATTCAGGATTTGAAGAGCTGTGACAATCCCAGAATGGTTGTTGGGTTTACAGCAGATGTTTATTTCTTTCATATTACATTGCGCTGCATGCTGGGGCGTGGTGGGCGACTACCCCGGATGTTTCCTCTTAATACTCCGGTTCGATCTTGAACCCCTCAATGACCCTGGGGCCCCTCCAGCCAGGCGTTTCAGGTTACATAGTTAGTCTGGCTGAAAAAAGACAAAAGTCCATCCAGTTCAACCTTTAAAAAAAAAAGAAGTTATAATCCTACACCCACAGGTGATCCAGAGGAAGGCGAAATCCCCGGCAAAGCACGATCCAATTTTGCTCCTGAAGGGGAAAAATTCCTTCCTGGTCCCCCGAGAGGCAATCGGATATTCCCTGGATCAACGTTCCCTATAAATGTTATATCCAGTTATATTCTGTGTATCCAAGAAAGAATCCAGGACTTTCCTACAGCAATCCACTGAGCTGGCCACAACCAACTCTGGAGGGAGTCTATTCCGCATTCTCACAGCTCTTACTGTGAAGAAACCTTTCCGTGTTTGGGGATGACATTTCTTTTCCTCCAGACGTAAGGAGCGCCCCCTTGTCCTCTGTGATGACCTCAGGTTGTCTTCAGAGAAGCAAAAATAGATGCCATCCCTCCTGATCTGACAGGTCGATCGCTCCTCGTCTCTTATAACATTCGATGGACCCCCCCCGGGTTCCACTCCAGTATGATGAAAGTCATGGAGTGACAGCGGGACAAGATGGCTTCCTGGCGATAGAAGGTTCACAATACAAGCCTTGCAGCTCCCATCGGCCTATATGGACACTATTGGGGGAGATTTACTAAAACTGGAGCTCTCAGAATCTGGTGCAGCTGTACATGGGAGCCAATCGGCTTCTGACTTCAGCTTGTTCAATGAAGCTCTGGCAGTAAAACCTGGAAGCTGATTGGTTTCTATGCAGAGCCGCACCAGATTCTGTGTGCTCCAGTTTTATGTCTCCTAGGGGGTGGGGCCTGGGGAACAATGAGTCAGGATAGGCCAGCGGGATATGTGGGGGAGGAGCTCAAGTTTAAAAAATTTGTTTTATAAACCAACAATTCCCCCAACAGAATGCTGTGATGTAACGATTGTCTTCTTTGCATGTCAGCACAAACGTTAGGACCTCGTGGTATACCGTGTGTTCCATACGTGACGGAAAAACCACCCAAAGTGATACGAAGTGCCAGCTTGTTGGATTAAAACAAACATGTTCTCCCTGCTCTGTGCAATGATTTTGCACCAAGCCACCCCTTGCCTCCTCTTCTTGCAGAGCCCCACCAGCGCTGTCTCCTTCCCCTCTTCTGGGTGCCTCCATAGCAATGCGGGGGCTAAAGAGGCCCCCATGGACGTGTGCTGCAGTCAGGGTGTGTGAGTCCATAGACACACACAGCATCATTGAGCCACCCACTCTCAGAGGAGTTTGACCGACAGCAGCAAGAGCCTTGACTCCCTGTGCCCTCAGTGTCTCCCGTGGGACCAGGAAGTGAGGGGAGCAGTGAAAGGAGCCAGGAGAGTGTTTAGAGACGGGGGTGGGTAGAAACAGGTAGGGGGGCTTTTTATACCTTAATGCAGGAAATGCATGAAAGTGAAAAACCTTTTGGAACCAATTTACATGTTACGGGGACACAGACCACCATAAAAAGGCAATACAAGTTTTAGCTGCATGACCTCCAAACGGTTTGGCTGGGGTTGAGAAAAATGGTACATATGTGTAGACCCCTCTAAGTTCTATGTATGTATGTGTAGACCCCTCTAAGTTCTATGTATGTATGTGTAGACCCCTCTAAGTTCTATGTATGTATGTGTAGACCCCTGTAGGTTCTATGTATGTATATGTAGACCCCTCTAAGTTCTATGTATGTATGTGTAGACCCCTCTAAGTTCTATGTATGTATGTGTAGACCCCTGTAGGTTCTATGTATGTATGTGTAGACCCCTCTAAGTTCTATGTATGTATGTGTAGACCCCTGTAGGTTCTATGTATGTATATGTAGATCCCTCTAAGTTCTATGTATGTATGTGTAGACCCCTCTAAGTTCTATGTATGTATGTGTAGACCCCTGTAAGTTCTATGTATGTATGTGTAGACCCCTCTAAGTTCTATGTATGTATGTGTAGACCTCTCTAAGTTCTATGTATGTATGTGTAGACCCCTGTAGGTTCTATGTATGTATGTGTAGACCCCTCTAAGTTCTATGTATGTGTAGACCCCTCTAAGTTCTATGTATGTATGTGTAGACCCCTCTAAGTTCTATGTATGTATGTGTAGACCCCTGTAGGTTCTATGTATGTATGTGTAGACCCCTGTAGGTTCTATGTATGTATGTGTAGACCCCTCTAAGTTCTATGTATGTATATGTAGACCCCTGTAGGTTCTATGTATGTATGTGTAGACCCCTGTAGGTTCTATGTATGTATGTGTAGACCCCTCTAAGTTCTATGTATGTATGTGTAGACCCCTCTAAGTTCTATGTATGTGTAGACCCCTCTAAGTTCTATGTATGTATGTGTAGACCCCTGTAGGTTCTATGTATGTATGTGTAGACCCCTTTAAGTTCTATGTATGTATGTGTAGACCCCTTTAAGTTCTATGTATGTATGTGTAGACCCCTTTAAGTTCTATGTATGTATGTGTAGACCCCTTTAAGTTCTATGTATGTATGTGTAGACCCCTCTAAGTTCTATGTATGTATGTGTAGACCCCTGTAGGTTCTATGTATGTATGTGTAGACCCCTTTAGGTTCTATGTATGTATGTGTAGACCCCTTTAAGTTCTATGTATGTATGTGTAGACCCCTGTAGGTTCTATGTATGTATGTATGTGTAGACCCCTCTAAGTTCTATGTGTAGACCCCTCTAAGTTCTATGTATGTATGTGTAGACCCCTCTAAGTTCTATGTATGTATGTGTAGACCCCTCTAGGTTATGTATACACTATATTGCGAAAAGCATTGTCCCTGCTCTCCCAATCATGTGATTCAGGTGCTCAAATCCCCTCCCAATCATGTGATTCGGGTGTCCCAATCCCCTCCCAATCATGTGATTCGGGTGTTCCAATCCCCTCCCAATCGTGATCCAGGTGTTCCAATCCCCTCCCAATCATGTGATTCAGGGGTTCCAGTCCCCTCCCAATCATGTGATTCAGGTGTCCCAATCCCCTCCCAATCATGTGATCCAGGTGTTCCAATCCCCTCCCAATCATGTAATTCGGGTGCTCCAATCCCCTCCCAATCATGTGATTCGGGTGCTCCAATCCCCTCCCAATCATGTGATTCAGGTGCTCCAATCCCCTCCATATCATGTGATTCAGGTGTTCCAATCCCCCCCATGGACACAGGTGTATACAATCAAGCCCCTAGGCATGCAGACGGCTTCTACAATCATTGGTGAAAGAATGGGTCGCTCTCAGGAGCTCAGTGACTCCAAGCGTGGTCCCGTGATAGGTGGCCACCTGGGCAATAAGTCCATCCGTGACATTTCCTGGCTACTAAATATTCCACGCTCAACTGTTAGTGGGATTATAACAAAGTGGAAGCCACTGGGAACAACAGCCACTCAGCCACCTAGTGGTAGGCCACGTCACATGACAGGGCGGGGTCAGCGCATGCTGAAGCGCACAGTGCGCAGAAGTTGCCAACTGTCTGCAGAGTCAATAGCTAAAGACCTCCAAACTTGGTGTGGCCTTCAGATGAGCCCAACAACAGTGCGTAGAGAGAGCTTCATGGAATGGGTTTCCATGGCCGAGCAGCTGCATCCAAGCCTTCCATCACCAAGGGCAATGCAAAGCATCAGATGCCGTGGTGTAAAGCACGCCGCCACTGGACTCTAGAGCAGGGGAGACGTGTTCTCTGGAGTGACCAATCACACTTCTCTGGCAATTCGATGGACGTGTCTGTGTTTGGCGGTTTCCAGGAGAACGGCACTTGCCTGACTGCATTGTGCCAAGTGTAAAGTTTGGTGGAGGGGGGATTATGGTGTGGGGGTGTTCTTCAGGGGTTGGGCTTGGCCCCCTAGTTCCAGTGAAGGGAACTCTTAAGGTGACATTTTGGACAATTTCATGCTCCCAACTTTGTGGGAGGAGTTTGGGGATGGCCCCTTCCTGTTCCAACATGACTGCCCACCAGTGCACAAAGCAAGGTCCATAAAGACATGGAGGAGCCAGTTTGGGGTGGAGGAACTTGACTGTCCTGCACAGAGTCCTGACCTCAACCCCATAGAACACCTTTGGGATGAATTAGAGCGAAGACTGCGAGCCAGGCCTCCTCCCCCGACATCAGTGCCTGACCTGACAAATGTGCTTCTGGAAGAATGGTCCAACCTTCCCATAGACACCCTCCTAAACCTTGTGGGCGGCCTTCCCAGAAGAGTTGAAGCTGTTATAGCTGCAAAGGGCGGGGCCAACTCAATATTGAACCCTACGGACTAAGACTGGGGGAACATTAAAGGCCATGTGTGTGGAAAGGGCGGGGCCAACTCAATATTGAACCCTACAGACTAAGACTGGGAGGGGCCATTAAAGGTCATGTGCATGGAAAGGGCGGGGCCAACTCAATATTGAACCCTACGGACTAAGACTGGGGGGCCATTAAAGGTCATGTGTGTGGAAAGGGCGGGGCCAACCCAATATTGAACCCTACGGACTAAGACTGGGGGGCCATTAAAGGTCATGTGTGTGGAAAGGCCGGCCGACCAATACCTGGGGCAATATAGAGTATGTGTGTGTAGATCCCTCTTGGTTGTGTGTTAGTAAATGATCTCACCTGGTTGATCCTCCTCAGTATCTCGGATCCGACTCCCAGCCCTGACAGAAGATGGTAAGTAAAGTTCAGTCTGATAAAGCTGGAAATCCAATCATAGAAAGTCGTAGTGCTCACCCCGATAAAGCTCCATGACAAAGAAATCCTCCAGGTAGAGGCTCCTCCCCTCCCACGTCTCGTGTGTAATAGTACATGGCGAATCCGATCCTTTCGCCTTCACCTGGAATTATAATGGACAGACCAATCGGAGATCACGGAGCATTTATATTACAACCGTTCTGTTTTCATTATTTCAGACCCAGAGATGCCGTTTCTGAGTCTCTGTGCTTATTGTTCACTGATGTCCTATTTACTGATCTGAGTTCATTGGCCAGATACCTGCATGGAGTGTGCACATCTATGGATAGGCTGGGATTACATGCATGGAGTGTCCACATGTGCAGGGAGGCCGGGGGTTACATGCATGGGGTGTGCACATCTATATGAAGGCCGGGGGTTTTGCATGCATGGGGTGTGCACATCTATATGAAGGCCGGGGGTTGCATGCATGAGGTATGCATATCTACAGGAAGTCCAGGGGTTACATGCATGGGGTGTGCACCTCTACAGGAAGTCCGGGGGTTACATGCATGGGATGTGCACATCTACAGGGAGGCCAGGGGTTACATGGATAGGGAGGTGCACCTCTACATATGGGTCAGAGGTCCCCTGTACCCTGACAGGCCAGGGGTACATGCATTGGGTGTGCACATCTATATGAAGGCTGGGGATTATATGCATGAGGTATGCACATCTACAGGGAGGCCAGGGGTTATATGCATGGAGTGTGCACATCTACAGGGAGGCTGGTGGATACATGCATGGGGTGTGCACATCTACAGGAAGACCAGGGGTTACATTCATGGGGTGTGCACAGCTACAGGAAGACCGGGGGTACATGCATGAGGTATGCACATCTACAGGGAGGCTGGGGGATACATGCATGGGGTGTGCACATCTACAGGAAGGCTGGGGGATACATGCATGGGGTATGCACATCTACCGGAAGGCCGGGGGATACATGCAAGGGATGTGCACATCTACAGGAAGGCTGGGGTTAGATGCATGGGGTGTGCACATCTATATGAAGGCCGGGGGGTTACAGGCACGGGGTGTGCACGTCTACAGGGAGGCCGGGGGTACATGCATGGGGTGTGCACATCTACAGAGAGGCAGGGGGTTACATGGATAGGGAGGTGCACATCTACAGAGAGGCTGGGGGTTACATGCATGGGGTATGCACATCTACAGGAAGGCCGGGGGATACATGCAAGGGATGTGCACATCTACAGGAAGGCTGGGGTTAGATGCATGGGGTGTGCACATCTATATGAAGGCCGGGGGGTTACAGGCACGGGGTGCGCACGTCTACAGGGAGGCCGGGGGTACATGCATGGGGTGTGCACATCTACAGAGAGGCTGGGGGTTACATGGATAGGGAGGTGCACACATCTACAGAGAGGCTGGGGGTTACATGCATGGGGTATGCACATCTACAGGAAGGCCGGTGGTTATATGCATGGGGTGTGCACATCTATAGGAAGACCAGGGGTTACATGCATGGGGTTTGCACATCTACAGGGAGGCCAGGGGTTACATGCACGGGGTGTGCACGTCTACAGGAAGGTCGGGGGTACATGCATGGGGTGTGCACATCTACAGGGAGGCTGGGGGTTACATGCATGGGGTATGCATATCTACAGAGAGGCTGGGGGTTACATGGATAGGGAAGTGCACCTCTACATATGGGTCAGAGGTCCCCTGTTCTGTATTACAACACTACCCGAGTTCCAGACAACCCCTGCAGCGTCCTCTGAATGAACCCAAGTCCAGGTTTCCTCCCGGGTGCAATGTTTGCAGAGGTGCTGCACATCTAGAACCACGGCAGGGTGCTGCACATCTAGAACCACGGCAGGGTGCTGCACATCTAGAACCATGGCAGGGTGCTGCACATCTAGAACCATGGCAGAGGTGCACATCTAGAACCATGGCAGAGGTGCTGCACATCTAGAACCATGGCAGAGGTGCACATCTAGAACCATGGCAGGGTGCTGTGCTCACTATTCTAGCACTGGAACTTGCCACCGGATCCTATTAGAGGAAGAGCCGCATACTGACCTCTCATCCACAGGTGCACCATCAAGGCCCATCTTGTTACCTACAGACCAGAAGAAGGGCTGAAGGAACGTTTTGCAAACCATTGGAATGTATAGAGCTGACCTGACCCGGGTTGGTTTTTCCCGTCCTGCCCAGCACTGGCCCAATGTATGGAATATCCCGACTGATGGGAACTTACCGTCACCGTCCTTCTCTGGCGTTAGTTCTGCAATGGAACAATGAAAGAAGGGGCGCTCCCCAAACCCGTCCTCCAGCAGGTCTGTGAAATAGAAATAGAAGAATCTGGGAAGTTATCAATAACAAATATGGAGAAGTCTCCCTCCTCGTGTTCCAATTTCTGATCTCACCCTTCTCTGTCAGATGCAAGGCGTCCAGCATGGTCTCATATTCCGCCAGTTCCTGGAATAAGAATCACATTGTAGGTATGGAGCTCACGCTGGGCACCATTTCTTCTACTGACACAACAACGGGGCACCATTTCTTCTACTGACACAACAACGGGGCACCATTTCTTCTACTGACACAACAACGGGGCACCATGTCTTCTACTGACACAACAACGGGGCACCATTTCTTCTACTGACACAACAACGGGGCACCATTTCTTCTACTGACACAACAACGGGGCACCATGTCTTCTACTGACACAACAACGGGGCACCATTTCTTCTACTGACACAACAAGGGGGCACCATTTCTTCTACTGACACAACAACGGGGCACCATGTCTTCTACTGACACAACAACGGGCACCATTTCTTCTACTGACACAACAACGGGGCACCATTTCTTCTACTGACACAACAACGGGGCACCATTTCTTCTACTGACACAACAACGGGGCACCATGTCTTCTACTGACACAACAACGGGGCACCATTTCTTCTACTGACACAACAATGGGGCACCATTTCTTCTACTGACACAACAACGGGCACCATTTCTTCTACTGACACAACAACGGGGCACCATTTCTTCCACTGACACAACAACGGGGCACCATTTCTTCCACTGACACAACAACGGGGCACCATTTCTTCTACTGACACAACAACGGGGCACCATTTCTTCTACTGACACAACAACGGGGCACCATTTCTTCTACTGACACAACAACGGGCACCATTTCTTCTACTGACACAACAACGGGGCACCATTTCTTCTACTGACACAACAACGGGCATCATTTCTTCTACTGACACAACAACGGGCACCATTTCTTCTATTGACACAACAACGGGCACCATTTCTTCTACTGACACAACAACGGGGCACCATTTCTTTTACTGACACAATGGGGCACCATTTCTTCTACTGACACAACAACGGGGCACCATTTCTTCTACTGACACAACAATGGGGTACTATTTCTTCTACTGACACAACAACGGGGCACCATTTCTTCTACTGACACAACAACGGGCACAATTTCTTCTACTGACACAACAACGGGGCACCATTTCTTCTACTGACACAACAACGGGGCACCATTTCTTCTACTGACACAACAACGGGCACCATTTCTTCTACTGACACAACAACGGGCACCATGTCTTCTACTGACACAACAACGGGGCACCATTTCTTTTACTGACACAATGGGGCACCATTTCTTCTACTGACACAACAACGGGGTACCATTTCTTTTACTGACACAACGGGGCACCATTTCTTCTACTGACACAACAACGGGGCACCATTTCTTCTACAGACACAACAACGGGGCACCATTTCTTCTACTGACACAACAACGGGCACCATTTCTTCTACTGACACAACAATGGGGCACCATTTCTTCTACTGACACAACAACGGGGCACCATTTCTTCTACTGACACAACAATGGGCACCATTTCTTCTACTGACACAACAACGGGCACCATTTCTTCTACTGACACAACAAGGGGCACCATTTCATCTACTGACACAACAACGGGGCACCATTTCTTCTACTGACACAACAATGGGGCACCATTTCTTCTACTGACACAACAATGGGCACCATTTCTTCTACTGACACAACAATGGGGCACCATT